GGGCTGGGAGAGGAGGAGCGGAGGCGAGGCCCCTCAACACGCGACGCAACCGCCCATTGCGTCTGCGTCTCCGCTTTCCCTCCACTATCTTCCTCCCCCTGGCCCCCTTTAACCCTTGCCGGCCGGGTGGGCCCCCCGCCTCACAATGGCCCATCCCCGGGCCCCTGGGCCCCCAAATTTTAACCCCAAAAAATGGTTATCCCACCCAAAATTATGCAAGTATTTTGATTAATTTATGCAAATTGGATTATTAGGCTTGTTTCCGCCAGCGATTTTAGCCCCCGAATTTGCGGTTTTTGCTTCAGTTCCTGGTTTTTTGGGGCCCATCTGAAGGGCCCTTGCCCGAATTTTGTTGCGCGAAAATTGTGCTGCTGTTCAAATGCGATTTATGCTAATTAGGGTCTATTTTTGGGCCTATTGGGACCTGGAAATTTGCTTATTACTGCTTTTTTTGGGTTTTGGTCATTTTTGGATTGAATTTTACTCATTTTGCGAGCACCTCTTGACTATTGGGACTTTTTAAAGCTTTTTCCATACAAATTTATGCAAATTTGATTGAAATATAAATTGAAATTGATTGAATTTCATACGCTAATCGCCATACTTAAATAGAAATCGTGAAAAACTTCGGAAAATCGACTTTTTTCTATTTTTCCACGTATTTAATTGTTTTCTCGATTTTCCAGGGCTAATTTCCGGTTGTTTCCTTGCCCCTTATCACCCCCGGAATGGGCTAATAAAATCGAGGCCGGGGCGCGGCGCTTATCAATTTTCACGCCTCAAGGCCACAGCCGCTTCCTAGAGAAAACACAAATATATTACTGAATTGGTGTTAATTTAAATAAAATTATTAGTGATTAATTCAGAAAAGTACAAATTTTACTTTAAATTAAATAGATAAAAACTTAATTTCTATATATTGTCGACATTTTTTACGACGTACACCAAATTGCGCTCAAAAAAATCGTCGAAAATCGCACATTTACAATTATTCAAACTTCCTAATTAAGTTTTTCTCATTTTTAGTACTTAAAATTAGTAAATTTGAGTTCTAAATTTTATAGATTTCTCAATTTTTAGTATTTATACTATTATTAAAGTGATTTAAATGTTTATCTCCACTGTTTTAGACTTCAAAACCCCTAAACTACAAACTACAACCGCTGGACCCCGGAAATCAAATGCACTAAACCATCCGGCGGGCCGAAGCGGCAGATGAGCGAGCCGGGATCTCCAAAAATCGACGCCGACCGACCGTCCACTTCGCAACAGCCGGGGGTACGGTAGTTTCTACGGTAGTCCAGCCGTTTAAAGGGGTTCGAACGTTTAAATCCAGGCGTTTCCTACAGTCTACAGTACCCAATTCCAGCCCTCATCAAGCGGAACCTCAAAAATGCCCGAGAACGCCGTCGTCGCCCAGGTGCCGGCCGACAGTGCCACCAGGTATGGTTTTCCGTAGGCTTAGGCTTAGGCTTACGCTTGACTAGGCTTTGCTTAGGTTTTGCTTAGGCTTTGGCTTGACTTCGACAGCTCGATAAAAATCTTGCAGACAAGCCGACATGATCGACCTGCTCGCCAAGGAGGCGGAAGAGCTGCGGAAGAAGCTCGACCTGGAGAGGCAGAAGCTTAACGATATCCCAAGTAAGTTGGGGCAGGCTAGCAGAGATCTTTGGGGAAGACTCGTCCAGCTCTAGGGGCAGGCTAGCAAAAATCCCTAGGGAAGGCCAACTAGCAGGGGTTCTTGTGGAAACTTCTCCTTTCCAGTCCAACAAGCTGCCGAACGGCTCGACCCCCTCGGCGGGCTCGGCATCAAACAGCGCAGAATTCTGAAAGGTCATGCCGGGAAAGTGCTATGTATGGACTGGAGTACCGACAAGCGCCACATCGTATCGTCGAGTCAGGTGAGAGAGAGGAGAGAGAGAGAGCGAGAGAGAGAGAGAGAGAGAGCTAGAATTACTGAATCCCGTTTTTCAGGACGGCAAAGTGATCGTATGGGACGGCTTCACGACAAACAAGGAGCACGCGCTGACCATGCCGACGACCTGGGTGATGGCGTGCGCATATTCGCCAAGTAGCCAAATGATTGCTTGCGGGTAAGTTGAGGCTTAGGCTTAGGCTGCTTAGGCTGCCTAGGTTGCTTAGGATTAGCTTAGGCTTACCAACTCATGACCTCAATTTCAGTGGCCTCGACAACAAATGCTCAGTGGTTCCCCTCTCCTTCGAGGACGACATCCTCCAGAAGAAGCGCTCCGTCGCCACCCACACCTCCTACATGTCTTGTTGCACATTTTTGCGCTCCGACAATTTGCTATTGACAGGTAAGAGAGAGAGAGAGAGAGAGAGAGAGAGAAAGGGAGAGAGAGGGAGAGAGAGACAGAGATCTCCATTCCTTTCTCAGGCTCCGGTGACTCTACATGCGCGATCTGGGACGTGGAAAGCGGACAAATGATCCAAAACTTCCACGGTCACACCGGCGACGTGTTCGCGCTCGACGTGCCCAAGCAGGACACCGGGAACATCTTCATTTCGGCGGTAGGTGTAAGAGTCTTGAGGAAGGGCAGGCTAGCAGAGACGTTTTGAGCAAACCTAGCTTTTTACTCCGTTTTAGGGTGCTGACAAGCACACGCTGGTGTGGGACATCCGTACCGGGCAGTGCGTACAGTCGTTCGAGGGCCATGAATCGGACATTAACACCGTGCGGTTCCATCCTAATGGCGATGCCTTTGCGACCGGATCTGATGATGCTACGGTAAGTTAAGGTAGCATTGATACTTTGAGGAAGCGAGGGCAGGCTAGCAGAGATCATTGAGGACCCATCTAATCCATCTAATTTGTCAATATTTAGTGCCGCATGTTCGATTTGCGAGCCGATCGGCAAGTGTGCGTCTACGAGAAAGAAAGCATTCTCTTCCCGGTCAATGGCGTTGACTTCTCCCTATCAGGTACGTCTATTAGCGTAATGCAACGCGTTGCGGTCGCATCGCGTCTGATTTTTGCCGCAGCGCATCCGCAACGCGTTAACATTAATTTCAGGCCGAATTCTGTTCGCCGGCTATGGAGATTATCGTGTGGGCGTGTGGGACTCGTTGAAGGTAAGCTATAATAGTTTCTCTCTCTCTCTCTCTCTCTCCTCTCTCTCTCGCTCTCCCTCTCTATCGCAATTTTCAGGTTTTGCGTCATTCGGTATTGTACGGACACGAGAACCGTATCTCATGCCTACGCACGTCGCCAGACGGAACGGCAGTGTGTTCAGCTAGCTGGGACTGCACGATTAGGGTATGTTGTTTGAATACGATAGACTGCAGCCGCAGACCCCCAAAACCCCCAAAACAACAACAAATTTTTTTGTAACTAAGGAGACAACAAAAAAAGCCGCCCCTAACTACAAACTACAAGGAATACCAGGGCCGAGAAACTAGAAACTACAGACTACGGACTTGTTGCATTTTGTAGCCAGATAGCTGGTTTTAGCAGATGTGACTAAAGTACAAAAAATACGCTGCAAATATAATTTACCTTGAAACTAAAGACTACAAACTACAAGAAGCGTTAGCTATAGACTACAGATTTGACACCACTGGCTACAGGCGTGCGTTTGTTGTAGTTTGTAGTCAGACAATGAGTCCGTTAACCAAAAACTATGGGCATACCAAAACTACAGACTACAGACTACAAGAACGTTCATTCATGATAGGCCTCAAACTAAAAATTACAAACTACAATAGCAGGATTTGCTACAGCTATAGATTACAAACTACAAAAGTGGTTACAAGGTTCGGTTAAATCACGGCAATTACAGGCTACAAATCCAATCACAAACTACATCAAGCTACAACTTTCAGATTTGGGCCTAATTCGCCTCGCCTCGTTCTCCTCATCACCATAGAGTATGTCGTTATATGACAGCCGTTTTTTGGGAAGTTTGTACTTTGTACCCTCCGAATACCGTACTTTTGTACTTTGTATTGTATCGTACCCGTCCATTTTCTAGTCGCCGTGATTTTACCCTTATTTTTGTATTTTAAAAATCTCTGTACCTACCCCACCACCAGCTTTACAACCCACACAAAATTTGCATATTAAAAAGACATCCAAAAAAACACGATTTTTCCTATTTTCTGCCATGGATACTGTACCTTTTTGTGCGACATTTTTTTGCAAATATGACAAATACCACACACGCCTCTCCCAGATTGTTTTATTTTATTTTATTCGATATATAAATATTTTCGCGCATGTGCAATTTGTAATTTTTTTCGTAGTCTTTTTGGTCTTCTTTTGTCCTACGGTAGCGCCCCTACCGTACCCCTCGGCAATTTTCCTTCCCTTTGATTACGATAGTAAAAAGTCTATTTATTTTTGTATTTGAAAATACAGTACGTAGAAAAGTACAATTATAATACATTTTGAAAATATGCAAATTTAAAAAATTACAACTTTAAGGGCATTTTTACGATTAAAAATTGGTCCAAAGATGTTTAAAAACACAAATTACAGAAAACATACAAAAATTACAGTAATCGAATTAAAATACAGTAATAAAATTTTAAAAAATTACTAAAAATGGCTAAAAATTAATTTATTAAAATAAGGCGTCATGAGGTAATAATTATGTAAATATCACAATTTATTACAAAATTAAGTTAGACTATTGTAGCTACCGTATACCATTCCACCGTAATCTAATTCAATAATTTAGGAAATTAACATAATTTATTTCTATGTCCATTTCGATATTTTCCATAATGAGCATAAATTCATTTAAAAACACGGTTTTTTTAATGCAAATTAACGTATCTTATAGGTTAAAAACAGGCTGTAATTAAATTGAAAAATTTCGAATTAAGCAATTAAAATGCTTTTAGCATTTTGAGCGGATTTTTGAGGGTAGGCAAGCAGAGATTCTTGTGGAATCTGGTCTCTAGATGCTTTTAATGTAAACTATATTAAATTATAGGATAGGATTTCTTAACATATAGACCACAAACTACACCACCCTACGGTCGACAATCATTTGCATGGGCCGCCAAGGTATCAAGGAATCTCTGGATGTCCTCATCGGTGAAAACTCTGCTCCGTGAGCCGGCGATCGTCTCCAGCACGTCGCGGTTGATGCGCTGCTAGAAAATAGGGTTTTTGGCAGCCTTCAGCTTGGGCTTCGGCTTCGGCTTAGGCTTAGGTTTAGGCTTAAGCTTTGGTTTAGCCTTAGGACTAGAAGTCCCTATGATCACTTTCTTCAGCTCACATTTTGATTGATAGCGACGGCAAATGTATTCGGAATCAACCGCCGTAATTGAGCAGCTTCGGATTCGATCGATTTCTAAAGGTAATCGATCCTCAAAATCGTTGATTTGCATACCTGCGCAAAACCGTCTGTGAAGACAATGGCGATAGGTGTGGCTCGACCAGGTCGAGCACCACGAGCAGAGGAATATTCGGAAATTGCCTGAAATAAGAGAGAATATAAGAGAGAGAGAGAGAGAGTGAGAGAGAGAGAGAAAGTGAGAGGATGAGAGAGAGAGAGAGAGAGGGGGAGAGAGAGGGAGATAATAGGGCCTACCCGTTGCAATGCCGAATGCGCAGCGGTAGTTCCGGAAGAAAACGGTGTCGAGTGGAGGGCCCGTAGAATCGCTGTTTTTTGCTGGACGTCATCGAAGCCCCAGACTCGTCGTACTTTGCCTTCAGCTGCGAATTTCACGACGGCTACCTGAAAAATACGGTGTTTTAAAGGGATTCGGAACCTGAAAGCTTCCTCAACGATCTCTGCTAGCTTGCCTATCGTTTCCTCAATGATCTCTGCTAGCCTGCCCTCGCTTCCTCAATGATCTCTGCTAGCCTGCCCTTCGTTTCCTTAAAGATCTCTGCTAGCCTGCCCTCGCTTCCTCAATGATCTCTGCTAGCCTTCCAGCCCATAAAGTATCGATTTTTTCGTCCTGATTCCTTTAATGTGCTTATTTCACACCAAAAACGAGCCCAATCTGCCTAATATTGATATAATCACGTCAGATGTTCCTTATCACACCCTCCCAATCTGCCTATTTGATAAGAAAGCAACCCAGATCTCCATCCGCTCTAAAGCTACCCTCCATTTCCTTGCCAAAAACTTCTCGAAATGTCCGCCCAACGAATGCTACTCTTGACGGCGCTATTTGTCATTGGATCCGCTCAGTTTCGGATTCCGCTTCCGTTTGGCAGCATCAACGTCGGGAAGAAGGAGGATGGGAAGGTAAGCTTTAGGCTTAGGCTTAGGCTTGGCTTAGTTAAACTTAGCTCACGGGGAGAAGCTTTCAAAGTTTTGGCTTCGCTTTGCCTGGCTTAATTTAGTATTGCTTCCGCTAAGTTTAGGCTCAGGCTTCACCTAGCTCACGCTCTACTATTTTTTAGGTAGAAGTCGGACTCGATAATGAGATCAACTTCTTCGGTCACGGGACCAAGAATAACTGGAAGGTCACCACCGGAAATGGGACTTTCTTGACGGAAAGTAAGTTAAAAATCATCTTTTTGGGGTTTAAAGGGACTGGGAAGGCAAAAATTTGCCAGATAGCAATAGATTTCTGCCATAAAAAATGAATTAAACGATTATTGAGCTGAAGAATAAAGGGAAAGCTAGCAGAGATCATTGAGGAATCGAGGGCAGTCTAGCAGAGATCCTCGAGGAAGCGAGGGCAGGCTAGCAGAGAACATTGCGGAATTCCAGGATACAGCGGTGCGCTGGTGAACGGCAGCGATTACGGTACCGGTCAAAGCATCGGTTACGACAAGGAAGCCGGTATTGACCTCGGCTCAAAGGCGAAAGTTGGAGATCAGCGAGTTGAGGTGGGAATTTTATTTTAAAGGAGCCTTGAAGGCACTTCGCTATGGTTTTTGGCCTGAGCAACACCTTTAATTTTAAAAATTCAACACTTAACAATTTTTTTAGTCAAGCCTCCTCCGCCCCGACGACTTCTTCACCAAGCTTTTCGGGGCCATCAACGCCCAGAAGGACAAGAACAAAAAGAATTGATCAATTTTGTAAATTTTTTAGTGAATTTTACAGCTTATAAATAAGTTTTCGACATACCACGCATTAATGGAGAGCTAGAAAACTACCGATTTAAGTATTTAAAAACCTACCCGAGCGTTATTCGGTCCAATCCTGAGCGTGTTGAGGATGTCGGAGACGAGCTGTTTCTCGCGCATGAACGTCTCCACCACGCTACCGGAAGCGTCGAGTACTACGAGGACGTCAAGGAGACAGCCCAAAAAAAGAGGATTATAGACTTTGTGTTATACCGGTTTTCAAGAGTTTCTCTCTTCTCTCTCTCTCTCTCCCTCTCTCTCTATCTCTTTCGCTCTCTTGCACGCTCTCTCTCTCTCTCTCTTTCTCTCTCTCTCTCTCTCTCTCTCCCTTCTCTCTATCCTCTTTCGCTCTCTCTCTCTTACGCATTCTCTCACTCACTCTCTCGCTCCCTCTCTCGCTCTCGTTCCCCCTCTCTCTCTCTCTCTCTCTCTCTCTCTCTCTCTCTCTCTCTCTCTCTCTCTCTCTCTCTCTCTCGCTCTCTCTCTCTCGCTCTCTCTCTCTCTCCCTCTCCCGCCTACCTAAACCCAAATTTCCAACGATTTTCGATCCCGTTCAAGACTCCAGGAACCGTTCGCTTCTCCTCCCCTCCCCTTCCTCACATAATTAGCGACAGCCCCCCAAAAAAGTGAGAGAACCGTTGTGTCGACTTTCTTGAGCAGTGCAAAAACTACACAGATGTCTGAGAGATCTCCCCAGGATCCCGAGGGATTTCCCCAAGAGTTTTCCGAGCTTGCCACTCGAATTTTTGAGCCCCACTTAACATGCTCGTCTACCTAATTGCTACTACAATTTTTGTATTGACAACTACAGCCGAGGAAACGGAGCAGAAAAGGTAGGAAAGTAAATGTATATAAACAGGGAATTTGCAGATTTCGAATCAATTAGAAAAAAATAAATATATTTCAGCGATGTGCTAAGAAATGGGCGACTGTCAAAAGCGGATCAGGATTTGCTGTTGTTATCGTAAGTCTGTGGGATCTAAAAATCGAGGCTCAACTCTAGAAGTTCAAATTTAAGGTTAGAAAATAGTAGATTAAAATATTTTTCAGAAATGTAGAATTAAATAAATTAAAATACAGGGGAAAACGCGCGGCCGCCCCCAAGAACCCGAACGAGACGAAAAAAAAAGGCCGCCTTATATAGGCTACCGCGACTCCGGGCAGTAATACAACAAAGGGGTGTCCATCCATGAAAAAAAATAAAGTCGAAAAACAAAGGAAAACTGAAGTGCGCCCCGCCCACACCAAGACGAGAAAACCCAAAGTACTCTCTTGAATACACACCTGACGGAAGCTGATGCAAAGCACCACACACACACAGACAATTTTATATAGTGAATTGAGAAAACAAAATATTTATTAAAGCTTTTGTAGAAACCCATTCTCCACCGGTAGCTTCTATAATGGTGAAGCTATCACGGCAGCCCAAAACCCGGCGGTTCCCTGGTATTCCGGCATGTCGGGAATGCCATTTCTGAAGGTGCACAAGGAGCAACCGAGGTATGGCATGCTTATGCTTAGGCTTAGGCCTAGCTTAGGATTGGGCTTGGGCTTAGATTGGCTTAGGCCTATGCTAACGCCAGGCTTAGGCAATGGCCTATGCTTATGTAACCTAGTCATACGGCAGAGAAAATTTGAAACCATTCACATAATTTGCATATTTCCAGGTTATTGGGCCTGAAGCTGATCCCCGGGGCGGACGGCACCTTCTATCTGGCCAGCCACTACCCCGGCTATAACCCTTATATGGGGCAGCCTGTTTTGACACCACAGTTTCCGGCTGGAAAATAAATTGCTGCGGAGAGAGCGGGAGAGAGAGAGAGAGAGAGAGGAGAGAGACGGACAGACAATCAAGCCGACCGACGAACAAAAAAACCAACAAAACTAACCGCTGACAAAATGCGTCGAGTTCTCGATCCTCTGCTCATCCACATCTAGCATGCTGATAGCAGCCGAACTCCTTGAAGTCGTGCTTAACCTCAACTTGATGGTTGTCGTTCTTGCCGTCGTCGTCGGCTTCTCCGTGCTTCTAAATGCTCAGAAGTTTCATTTTCACTATTTTTTTTGGGTTATATTTATTTTTTTTTTTTTTTCTCTCCCCCCCTCCCTCCCCCCTCCTTCCCCCCCTCTCTCTTTTATCTCTCTCCTAAACTGAACCGACCTTCCCGATACCTGGTAATTGGAGCAGCAGGATTCCGGAAAACTTTCGGAGCCCTAGAATTTTGTAAATCGTTAAAATTAAGTTATACCTCGTTGTGCTCGCTGAAGTCGTTGTTTTCTTGGTCGTCTCCTCCGCATCTGGGATAGCCTTCTTGCTGAGGTGGATGGTGGGCTCGAAGTTTTTCATGAGCAGCTCCTGAATGAGATTTAGAGGAATTGGCGATAACGAGGAGAGGAGAGAGGAGAGAGAGAGAGAGAGAGAGAGAGAGAGAAAGATAGCGAGAGAGAGAGCGAGAGAGAGACCACTCACCTTGCACATCCGGCTAGTAGGCAGGGCCAGCTTCAACAGCGCCTTCTCGAACTCGGCGTTCCTGGAAAAGGGAGGCTAGCCGAGATCATCGAAGAAGCGAGGGAAAGGGGGCTAGCAGAGATTATTGAGGAAGCAAGGGCAGACTAGCAGAGATTCTTTTGGAAACTTTTGCTTACCTATCGAACTCGAACACATTTTTCCTGGCCCCGGTGAGCATCTCCAGCGAACTGATGGAAGACTTGTCGGATGAGTCGACGGCATATCGAGTGATTTCAGAAGGCTAAATCAGAGAAAACGATTACAAACCGATTTATGGTGTTTTTTGTATGCTATGCTATGTCATTATTCTTACAATGTCTACATTAATCGGGCCCTCAGTCAGACTTCCAGGTCCCACGACGATCAGGGCTTTGCGAGAAGATTTCCTAAAGAACAAAATTTGATTTGATAAATTAGAATTCGCTCTCTCTCTCTCCCTCTCTCTCTCTCTCGCTCTTCTCTACCTCTCTACCTCTCTCATTCTTCCTCTCTCTGGCTTACCTCGCATTTTTCCTCAGCTCCTTCAGTGCAAAGGTCACCGCTTTATGGTAATCAGCTACGTTCTGGACGGCCGGGATGTTTTTAGCCTGGAAAAAAATTATTTTTTAAGGGTTATTTAGGTATATTTCTGCGTTTTAAAAGCACCCTTACCGCGACAAATAGCCGATTTCGCTCCAGGATCTCGCTAAAATCAGCAACAACCGATGGGGTGGCCGTGCTGATTAGGGAGGCTCGAATCCCAGTGATGCCGACGAGGGAGCCTGAATTTGTTGAATCGCTCTCTCTCTCGTCTCTCCCTCTCTCTCTCGCTCTCTCTCCCTCTCTCTCTCGCCTTCTCGCTCTCAAAACTCACCTAGTATATCCAGAAGCAGGAATTTATTCCCATTCACTGTTCGCTCGGATGAGATAGTTGAATTTACTAAAAATAAAAAGAATTTAAGGGTTTGGTAATTTGCATACCAGAATTATCGAAAACGAAGGCCACGTCAAGCTGCTCGGGCTCACAGGGATTTGGGCGAGGGGTTGGCTTCTAAAACTTTTTAGCTCTTGCTCACTCTGTCACTCTTTCCCTCTCTCTCTTTTTCTTTCTCTCCCTCTCCCCCCCCCCCCCCCCCTCTCTCTTTTTTTCTCTCTCTCTCTCGCTCTCTCACCTCTCGCCCCTCAATTGGGCAACCCTGGCCGATTTCTTGCAGCATGTCTTCTAGAAATCTAAAAAAGTCGTATTTTAACGATAGCCTAGCAGCGATTATTTAAAAGTTTTTTTTTTTTGGGGGGGAAGGGGAATTAAAAAATTGGGGGGGGGGGGGGGGGGGGGGGGGGAGGTAGGATTTTGTGGCAGGCTAGCAGAGATCGTGGAGGAAGCGAGGACAGGCTAGCAGAGATTCTGACGGAAAATACCCCATTCTCCTCTTTTAGCTCCTTAAAGTTTTCTAAAAGGACTTGGAAACCAAGAACACCTCCGTTTTCAAAGGTACTAAGCGCTAAAAATGGCATTTTCCAATCATGCACAATTTCTAGCTATTTAAAGGAACTTGGAAGGCAAAAATTTTCTGGAAAATGAGCCACAACCTTCCGCTGACCACCAGGTACGAACGAAAATTTGTTTCCAGCGGAACCGATCGGGGGGCCATTTCTGGACCGTCTCGAGTGTGTCTCCCCCACCTACAGTCTACGGTTTCGTGTAATTAGCCTGGGAAAGTGGGAATTCCGCTCCTCTGCCAAAATCTCAAGTACTCCAGTCAAGTCCGAGACCGAAAAAGCGCTCAAAAGAGCGCTTCTCACTTTCTCGCTCTCTCTCCTCTCTCTCTCTCTCCTCCCAAAAATAGAAATTACAGTTGGTCACACCGCGCGTGGGGGAAAACCTATAAAACGTCCTGGGACGCTTTTTGAGGAAAATTCGAGCGTGTCCAAGATGGGCAAATATTTGCTGTTGTTGCTATCCAGCGCCCTAGCTACCGTAACCCTAGCACAACAATACGGAGCTCCCTACGCACCTTACTATCCACAGTACACCAGTCCGTATTATTATGGAGCGGCGGCGCCAGGTTGGTAAAGGTTCCCAAACGATCTCTGCTAGCCTGCCCTTGCTTTCCTGAATGCTCTGCCAGCCGGCCTGGGTTTCTCAGTGTTTTCTTTTGGGTTGGGGTCGGTTTCCAAAAATATATCCAGCCGGCGCCCCGTGGCTTATTTATTTTTGCTTTTTGGCTGTCTCCCCTCCCCCCTCTCTCGCTTCCTCAATGATCTCTGCTAGCCTGCCCTCGCTTCCTCAGTGATCTCTGCTAGCTTGCGCTCGCTTCCTCAATGATCTCTGCTAGCCTGCCCTCGCTTCCTCAGTGATCTCTGCTAGCTTGCGCTCGCTTCCTCAATGATCTCTGCTAGCCTCCCGTCCTTTAAAGGGATGGTGACAGCTACATTCTTGATTTTCAGCGGTGGCGCCACCAGTCGCCCCCGCCGTTCCGCCTCCGATGCCCTATTTTCCATACAGCGGATGGGGACCAGTGAGTTATTTGAGATTTTTTGCCTTTAAAAAATTCAAAAATTAATTTTCTATAGCTTTTTCAGGCTTCTAGACGGCCCCATCCCTTTAAAAATGTATATTATTGTTTTTTCCATTATTTTCAGGTACCTTATGCGCCTCCATACGCCCCTACGTACAGTCCAACGTACGCCCCGTACAACTATTACCAGAACTACTACGGTAACTACGCCGGGTCGTATCGGAAAAAGACGGAATAGGGATGGCATAAAGTATAAAGCATATTGTGCTACGTACTAAAAGTACTGTATAAAATGCTACAGGCCCAGGCTTAGGCTTTGCTTGGCTTAGGCTTAAGCTTGGCTCAGGCTTAGCCTTAGGCTTAACTACGTACCGATTCCGTGTCGCATCTCTGTACAGCCGTTCCGGGGCTCCTATGTACAGACTCAGCTCTCGTAGATCAGCCTCTGCCCCCAAGAGCAACACCAAATCTAAAAATGACAAAATCAGTTACGTCATGAAATCCGGGACACACCTCTTGACGTTGGCATTTTCGATAGCTTTGGCGGCTTTGAGGACGTGACTCCACGGGTCTTGTGAGAAGCCGTCGTTCATAAGGACGATTATCTGTAAGGGTTTTTGAATAGGGGGCAGTCTAGCAGCGATCATTGAGGAAGCGAGGGCAGCCTAGCAGAGACCGTTTACAGAAACCCACTCCTTCCGCGTCCTTTCTCCGATTTTGATGCAAATCTTGGAGAGCGGCACCGATCGCTCTTGCCGTTAGTGTGGATCCGCCACGGTATTCGATATGACGGAGAAGGTCAAGGATTTCCTGAATTAACAAAATTACTTTTCGAGGTGATACCGTACCCTTCGGTCCGTTGCTGTTTGTAGTCGGCGCAGGAGCTTGGGTTCTCGTGTGAATGAGGTGATGCCGATGGCGATGTGGTCGGATTCTGAAGCCAGAAATACCAGAGAGAGAGAGAGAGAGAGAGGAGAGGCGAAGAGGAGAGAGAGAGAGAGAAAGTCCATCAAAAACGCACCGATAGGCAGCCTTTCCACGAGAGCCATCGCCAATTGACGCTGCCCTTCGAATACCTGTAAAAATTCAAAATTTTAGGTTTTGAAGGAGCGTAAAAACGAAAATCCATAGCCTTGGAAAAGTGCCAAAACTTCAGGCTCCCTTTAAAATGGCTAGCATCTATAAAACGTACATCTTCTCTCGAGGTACTCACATCCAGGATGATCTCCAGGTCCACCTTTTTCGGCACGCACCTAAAAACGTAATTTACATATTTTTTGGCATATCCGTACTTTTTCTGCTCTTCCTCGCGGCTGGGGACAAATTTTCGGACTCTTTCTTCACGAGCAGGTTCTTCTGGCGCTCTCTGCAGTCTCACTTTCTCCCTAAAAAACGTGAAAAACATACTTTAATTACCTGTTGTATAGCAAAAATACCTCCTTCTCTCCGCTCTCTCCTTCTTGCTCGCTCTCTGCGTGACATTCACCTGTCCAACCGCCTTCGCTTCCCTGCCTGCCTGGCCACGCCCCTAAACGGGATAGTCTCTCTGGGCCCTGCCTGCCCCAACGCTTCTGTGGCGCAATCGGCAGCGCGTTCGGCTGTTAACCGAAAGGTCGGTGGTTCGAACCCACCCAGGAGCGAACCTTTTTGCTTTTTGGCACATAACTGTGTAATGACGTATACTTTATTCAAAAATATTTTATATTGCTGTGTGAAGGGTAGCTGATCAGGAATTCGGCTCATAATCGGTCCTGAAACGTTTTGATAACCAACCTTTCTCGAGGTCGCCAAGAAGTCGAAAGTAACACGAGAAAAAGCGAAAAATGACAAAAGTGAAAATGTTTAAAAATAAAGCGAGGGTGTAAAATTGTTAGAAAGGGGTGGAAAGTGACCCAGCTACCGTACCTCGACGTCCAAGGTGACATTCGGGGCCAAGCAGTTCAGTAGGGCGCGTTCGGTGACGTCTAAAAAAATTAAAAATCCAAAAATCGTTAAAAGTTACCTAGAAATTCCGGGATTTTCGGGCCGACAAAGACGTAATCGGGACCGGAGGAGTACATCTCGAGTTCCCTGAAATCGAATTCAAAAAATTTAAAAAAGTCTGCAATTCTGAATTTGGCGTCAAAAAAATTTTAAAAAGGACACGGTCGATTTAAAAATTCAAATTCTGCGTTAAGTCCAAGGTTCCCACTTGTATAAATAGTCGCGGTGTACGGTGATAGCATAAACATCGACGGCGAGGGCTTTTACGAGACCGGATGTCAGGATTACCTATAAAATCCGGTACAGAGAGAGAGAGAGAGAGAGAGAGAGAGAGAGAGAGAGAGGAGAGGAGAGAGGGGGAGGGGAGGAGAGGGGGGGGGGGGGGGGGCGGGGGGGGAGGGAGCGAGAGAGGGAGAGAGAGCGAGAGAGAGAGAGAGACACCATACCTGTCTCCAGAGGTCCTGGCTGTTTCCATCCGAAACAAGCACAACCATTTGCCTAAAAATATCGAAATTTACACTTGCAAGCCCTGTTTGACGCATTTTTGAGCTGAAAACGACGGAAAATCTATGGATTTTACCTTCTCGGTACCTTTAAAAGCTTCTAACCATGTTCTGTGCTTTCCAATTTTTCAACTGGATTCGGAACTGGAAATCAAGGCCCATTATTGGCAGCCTTCCAAGTGCCTTTAAAACCCCAAACCTGGCGTCACTCCTTCGGCCTCGTGTAATTTCATCAGCTGCCAGCTTCATCCCGGCCGCCACCGAGGTCGAGCCGCCCTCGTCGGTGATGTTGGACAGGACGTTGATGATCGATTCTCTGGAATATGGAACTGTTGCTCCTTTTCTCTATCTCTCTCTGTCTCTCTCTCTCTCTCTCTCTCTCTCTCTCTCTTCTCTCACTTTGTTCGTTGCCTGCCGAGCGGCTCGACGACGCGCGCCCGATTGTGGAAGGCGATTATCCCGACGTGGACTCGGTTGTCGAAATCTTCACGGGGAAGGCGATTTACCTAAATTTGGATTTGACCTGCATCTACTGGTCATAAAAGCCATTTCACAGTCCCTTTAAAACGCACCAGATCCAGGGTGAACTGCCTTTGCTTCTCAAACTCCTGCTCAACTGAGGTGGAGATGTCGACGACGAAGACGAGGTCGACCTTGCAGGGTCCTTCTAGAAAGGGGAAGGCTAGCAGAGATCATTGAGGATACAAGGGCAGGCTAGCAGAGATCATTTGGGAGCCACCAAAAAACCCTGAAAACACCTACTTCCATCGAAAGTCGACTTGATCGTGCCAGGCCTCGTCACCAGCGGGATACCCTCGTTTAGTGGATCGCTCACTCCGCGCGGCTTCTAAGAACGGGGTATTATAGTCTCTCTCTCTCTCTCTCTCTTCTCTCTCTCTCTCTCTCTCTCGCTCCCTCACCTGCTCGTGCGAGTCGGTCAGCGGCTCATCGGTGTGGTTCGCAGGCGTGTTCTTCTCGATGACGGCGTCTGCAATGTTGAGATCAGAGAGAGAGAAAGAGAGAGAGAGTGAGAGAGAGCGATAGAGAACCTACCAGTTGTGATAACACCATCTCCGGATCCTTCCACATCTCCAGACCCCTCGATTTCTTGAACCTTCGATGCTACGTTCGCAATAATTTGGTCCTAAATCTGGGCTACAGACTACAATAATGACACGCACGGCTTTCTGACTGTCCGCTCCACAGTGCCGAAACTCGCGTCTGACCCTGTCGAGAAAGACGGGGATCTGCTGCGAGTGGAAGACGTGCGAGGCGTTGCCGGTCCAGGCCTGGAAAAGGGAGAGTGGGAGAGAGAGAGATCATGATCATGAGAGAGAGGGAGGGAGAGAGAGTGATTTTCTACCCTACCCACCGTCAACTCGCTCAACGAGTACTTCTCCGAATTCGTGGCCGCCAAGAACAACGAGTTCGGCAGGGCTTGAAGGATTCTAAAAAACCACCCGGCGTTTTCAACAAGTTCAGGCTGGTTAAAGGTACACGCAGGGCATTTCTATAAATTCTAGATTTCCAAATATTCTGTAAAGCCGACGTTTTCAAGTAGTTCAAGTCGTAGAAAGGTAAACGCAGCTTTTTTTACAGGTTTTAGTTATCCAAGGATTTTAGCTGTAAACCCAGCGTTATCATCAAGTTCAGGCGGTTTAAAGAGGCATGGATTCATGGATGGATTCTACATCTTTTAGGAAACCCATAAAAATGCCTTGCCAATCCCTTTAGAACTCAAAAATTATTCATCTACCTGGCCGTCTTGGTCAGCTTGTCCCAAAAGTCCTGGCTGTGCCCGTCGGAGATGAGCACGACGAGCAGCCGGGTTTTTGGGCGGCGCTCTGGCAACAGGTGCTGAAAGTACATTTATTTCCAACGAAAAATCAATAACTTGGCATCTAGAAATAGAATCGATTTATTGAATTCACAAGTTCAAGAGATTCAGGAATTACCATATAAAAAAGGCAAAAATTTCAAAAACTCTAAATAAATAATATGTTACTACTTTAAAGGGACTTGGAATGCAAAGAAAAGGCAAATTGCAAAAAAATTTATTTAATTTTAAACCCGACTTATTTTCTTTAAGCTATTTTAAATTAGTTTTAAAATATTATTTGAGTCCTAAAAGTCATTTAATTTATGCAAATTTCGACAATATTTTCATTTTTTGAACTTCCTGATTTCCTAGTCACTTTAAAATACGCGCTAAATTAAATAGTATTCATTAAAGACATTTAAATTAAAGCCAAATCACAAAATATTAGTAAAAAAAAAACAAAAAGCAGCATATTACAGTAGGCGATCCCTCGAAATGACCCTGAAAAACTCGGGCAATTTTCGCATGCTAATTTCGCCGGCTGGGTCCAAAATTGTGGGCGGGGCCGTGGTGGCATCGGGTTGTAGTTCGTAGTCGGGGAATTGTGGGGCCGGGTCGGGTACCGTAACCCGGACCTCCGGGGTGACTGTTGCGTTGCTAGGTGTTCGTAGTTGGTATCCCGAAATTTCGGGGCGTTTTGAGGGTTGCTTTGTAGTTTGTAAAATTTCGGAAGAGTTTTCAGGGCTGGCTACCGTAACTGAGGGGCTGGATACAGTAGAGATTTGAAGATTTTCTGCAAAATATTGTTTTGTCGTTTGGAAAGGCTCGGAAAGTGAATCTTCCGGCCTTTTCTGAGCCAGCTACCGTAACCCGGCCGTCAGATACTGTAGGGTTGTCTGAATTATCAGAATTTCCCGCCGAAAGTTGTGCCGCCGTTTGGAGCGTTTCGGAACCTGCCTTTTCCAGTTTTTCCTCAATTTTTAGCGCTTTTTCGAGATTCGTTACCGTAACCCGGGGGGCAGGTACTGTAGAAGTTTCCGGGTTTTCCGTATCGGATTCTGGCGTCATTTGGATAGTCTCGTAACCCGAATTTACAGGTTTTTCGCCACTTTTTAGATAGCTCTCCGGTTCAGCTACCGTCACCTGGTCATAAGGTACTGTGGAATTATCATCTTTTTCGGTAGCAGACCCTGGCGTTGTTTGGAAAGTCTCGGAACCTTCAGCTTCTTCCCTTTCTTTCAAGCCCTTCAGGATCCCCGCCCAAAATTCGGCTTCCGGAATTCCTCGGGCCTCTCCCGATATCTTGAATATCTTCTGAATCCGAACTTGTTGAAGTTGAGGTTTGATCGAGCCCAAAAACCCGGCCTTGGCCCTGTTTTTACGGAACTTTCCGGGGAATACGATGATTTTCGGGGTTCGGTCATCATCTCTCGCTTTAATGCTCGGCTTCTCCATCCTGAGGCGACGGACCGCGCCTGGGATTTTTGGAGTTTGAGGTCTTTTTCGGGAGGTTCCGGTTGATTCCGGCTTCCGGATTGACGTGTTCAAGTCGTGCTCGCTTTTCAGCTCCGCCTTAAAGAGTTGTAACATCACCCGGCCGTTTGAGCGCTTCGGAATGGACCCGATTTTTGGTTCAAATAGTCTTTCAAGAAGATACGATTTTAGCAGCGCCAATTTTCGGTTGAAATGCGGTACGTTGATGTCTTTCGTACTGCTTGAAGCCTCTGCTACGGTAGTCCGGCTAATGGGTACTGTAGCCGTTTCTACTTGGTTTACGGCAGTTGTAGATTCCAATTCCAAGGCCTCAGGGGTTACTGGTAGCAAAAACCAGGTCATCTACAGCATCCTCATTTCCGGGAATCCCTTCCGATGCCGATTCCGGCCTAATTAAGAAGGGTGCTGTGGGCGCTACAGTACTCCCGAGAGCTGATTTCTTTGATTCCGCGACATTCCTATCAACAGGGGTTACGGTAGCAAAAACCGGGCCATCTGCAGTATCCTCATTTCCGGAAATCACTTCCGGTTCCGATTCCGGTCTAATTACGAAGGGTACGGTAGCGATTTTCGGCTCGATTTCTGGGAGGCTACGATTTATTGGGATTATGGTAGCTGCGTCAAAAGGATTTGCCGTTTGATTTTCAGCTATTTTCCCAGATGCCGTATCCGAATCGAGAGGATTTTCCCAAATTTCCCGCTTTGCGGGGGTTACGGTAGCCTGGTCAGCAGCTACAGTCTCCCTCAGCGCTACAGTGGTAACGTCGAAAGGATCTTCGTGCGCATTTTTAGCGTTTTTCCTCTTGGTGGGGGTTACGGTACTCGTATCAAAAGCTGCAGAATCCATCCGGGCTACGGTAGTCGGCTCATGTTGCCCGGTTACGGTAGCTACAATATCATTTTGCAACATTTCTTCAAACTCGCTCCCCATTTCGAAGGGGTTTTCAGTTACTGTAGTTACGGCGGTCATTGTATTTACTATAGGACCATCCATAATTACGGAGCGTTGCGTTGTCGTGCTTTGGATTGTCGTGGAAATTTGAGCGTCAGTCGGCATTTCTCGGTTTTGTACGTTTCTCATGGATTCCAGCGGCTCCGGCTTCAGCGACGTTCTGAGTATCGTGGCGTACAGCTCTTCCAGCAATTTTATCGATTTTCGATCATCTTCAATCGATATTTTGTTGTCTCTTTTTCCATCCAGCTCCACCGTACGACCATCAGATTGTGCTAGATTTGATTGTTTTGCCGTTATATTGTTAATTGGGTTAGTTGGAGGTGGCTGTTGGCGAGGGTGGCGGCATGGTTTCTAAGTGGTTATGGTTAGTTTAAAAAGCTTTAAAGCTCCCAAAGCTGCCCAAGCTAAAAAGCCATGCTAGGTTAGCGAAAGCAAGCCGAAAAAGAAAATTTGAGAAGCCATAAAAATCTATTTTCTATAGCTACGTAATTTTTCGCAGCATCGTACTCTCTTACTCCCTTAATACGGTATTTTAGCAAGCACCATATTTCTAAATTTCTTAAATAAGAATATGGCTATAATGCCGACGGCCAAAATTCCGGCAAGAAAATAAACCGATAGACCAAATCCCAAAAGCCAAAATCCCGACAGCCGAAGTCACTACCGTAAAAATGCCGACGGCTAAAATGCCGACACCCACTAACCGACAGCCGAAAATCCCGACAATCCCGATCGCTTATTTGGTCGTCGGCATTCTTGGCTGTCGGGATTTTAGCTTTGTATTATCGCTGTCGTGTTTGGGCTGTCGGCATTTTAGCTCCTCTACTTAAAATTCGAGTAATGCTAAGCGAATTTTGACTTCCAACTCCCTTTAAAACCCCGAATCCATACCCTGATCGCCTGTTCAACTCCAGCCACGGCCGACGTGCTTCCCCCAGTGTGGTAGATGCTCGAAATCATATCCGTGATGTTGGCTCTGGTGGCTTTTCGAAGCGGTATCTCCAGCTTTCCCTCCTAAATGTAGCTATTTATATATCGTAATCAATTAAAATATAGAAAATACTAAATTAAAGCGAATTTTCATACCCTAGCAAACGAGGTGACGCCGACGCGGACTTGGCCCGTTTCGTAGGCCGATTTTGAGGCGAGCCCCACGACGTCGGTGGCCGTTTTGAGCTCTTTCTGGAAATTCAGGATTTCGGAGAGGTGGGGCAGGCTAGCAGAGATCATTGAGGACATTTAGGAATTTGGAAATCCATAAAATTCGAAGTGGCAAACCTGATAGTCCGTTTCGACGGATTGGGAGCGATCGACGACGAGGATGATGTCGAGGTTGCAATTCTAGGATGGGAAAAGGCTTTTCAGCGGAAATGGAAAGTAAGAATCCATAAACTGGAGCTACATGGCCAAATGGTAGTGTTCTTGCCTGCCAGGATAGTGACCCGAGTTCGACGCCCTTCCGGGGCCATGCTTTTGCTTTTTGATCAGAAGAGAGATAGAGAGATAGAGAGAGAGAGAGAGAGAGAGAGAGAGAGAGAGAGAGAAAGAGAGCTATAGGAAGAGAAAGAGAGTGAGCGATAGAGAGAACCAGAGAGAGGGTGTGAGAGACAGAAAGTGAGAGAGACCGAGAGAGAGAGCGAGAGAGAGAGAGAGAAAGAGCGACAAGACAAAAAAAGTTCTTACCGTAGCCTCCTCCGTGGTCAGCGTCCCTTCAGTAGTCGTCGTCTGGGTTGTGGCCTCATCTTCCACCCCCGATCCCTCCACTTCCTTTTCTTGCTTTTTCTTGGGCTCGCTGGGCTCAATTTGGCCACTGCCCTCTACAGTACCCCGCTAAAATCACTAAAATTAGAATATTAAGGCACGAAAATTACCTTCTCAATGCAGCGGTCGATGAACTTGCCGACGATGGGGAGGAAGCTGAAGATGGGCTTATACTTAGGCTTAGGCTTAGGCCTAGGCCTAGGCTTAGGCTAATGCTCCCAAACTACCGTACCTGCCGCTCTTCGGCCCGATAAACACCCTGGCGTCCTCGCCGGCGTACATCTTCAGCTCTTCCAAGTTGAAGTCTCTGGATGCGGTGACTGAAAAGACCTCCCACTCCGTCTCCTGCAGCCTCTTCCCCGTCGCCTGGACCACGTTCCAGAATTCTTGACCGTGGCCGTCGGAGATTAGGACGAAGATCTGGAATTTGATAGTTTGCGATCTATAGCTCTTGCTCTGTCTGTCTCGCTCTCTATCTCTTTCTCTCTCGCCCACCCTTCACCCTCCGCCCCCCCCCCCTCTGTCCCCTCTCTCGAAAAATATCTCTCTCGGTATCTCTCTCTCTCTCTCTCTACCTGTTGAGCGTCTTGCCGTTGATGCTTCTCAAGATGTGCCACTCCCAACTCGACAGCCGTCGCGATTCTCGTGTTCTGCCCGGTGAACTCGATGTTTCGGATGGTCTACAAGGAGTTGATCAACAAAATCAAGCAGAAGAGCACATGCTCATGCTCGCCCTCACCTCAATGACTTCCTTCTTGGTCATCCCCTGCCGATAAGGAACCACGATCTGGGCATCAGAAGCGAACCGAATCACCGAGACCTAGGAATTGAGCATCACCTAGACTGCTTGGTCTCGAGGTACCCGAATTCTATCCTCGAAGTCTTGCTCCTCAAATCGTTCGACCAGATCGAGAGCGAAAGCCCGCTCCTTGTCGAAGGCGTTGTGGACGGAGCCGGAAGTGTCGAGCACCAGCATGAGGTCGACCTTTGGCTGACTGCACGGCTGATCGACGGCAAATTTCCGGACGCGCTTCGCGTCGTCCATCGCGCGGACAGCGAAACGGCGGCGCTTAAAAAGGATGGTTAGGTTAGGCTCAGGCTTGGCCCAGGATAGGCTTAGGTTTAGGCTTAACCTCATGAACTCCCCACCTGAACCATCTTCTCGATAAGCGCCGGCGATAGAGCGGAAGGGCAGGCACCGATGGCCAGATCGAGCGCCTCCTCAAAGCCAAGCGAGTCCGAGGAGGTCGAGTAGACGTGTGAGCGTTTTCCGGTGTAGCCCTAAAATTGGAATACAAACTTTAAAATACCCTCCCACCTCTAGCGCAAATCCATTTGGGCGAGGACCGGCCGACAGGGCGAAGACGGACACGCCAAGGGCGCGAAGGTCAGCAACAGCTTCTACGGTCTCGGCGACGAGGTCAGAGTTTCGACCGTCATGGACGAGGAGTACGAGTCGTTCAGCATCAGGGCGACCAAGCTAAAGGGAGGGATTATTGGAGGTAGTGAGAGAGAGAGGGCGAGAGAGAGCGAGAGAGAGAGAGAGAGAGAGACGACAAACTTACCCTGGAAAATTGCTGAGCAGCTGCATCAAGCGCTCTCGCCACAGAAGTCTCGTTGGCGAACTCGGAGATGGCCTGGAGGCCGGCGAGTTCGGCGAGTACCTAAAAAATTAGATAGATTTTGCATAAAAAGGTGTAGATTACCCGATTGTCATCTTCTGAAGAGGATTCGGAGAACTCGATGAAGAAGACGGGGCGCCGGTGGAAGCCGATGAGGGAGTAGGTCTTGTCTCGGGTGGTGGCGACACGATCGAGGTGGCTGGAATGAAGAATTTCGGAGGAGAGAGAGAGAAGAGAGAGAGAAGAGAGAGAGAGCGAGAGAGCGAGAGAGAGAGGGAGAGAAAGAAAGGGAGAAAAGAGAGGAGAGAGAAAAAGAGAAAAAAAGCGAAAGACATTAAACTCACCGTATAACATCCCTAACCCTATCCTTCTGCAACTCGAGCACGGCTTCATCTGCTGGGGTCAAATCGAATAGTATGGCAACCTCCACCGGATTTCTTCTGCACTCGTTCAACGCCCCCTCGGCCACCGCCACCAAGGCGAGCAGCGGAACCTATCAAAATTAAAGTTTTTAGCCTTCACAATCCCTTTAAAATGCCCTAACCTTATTTTTACTGAAAAAAGACGTTCTTTTCGTCCAAGTCTCTTTTAAAAGGTAATTCTGAGCTTCTATGACTGCCAAGGCGTTCAGTTCAAAACCTGTACTCTTCGCCTTTCCGGCTGAACACCTCTCTAATTCGGATCAGGGCGAGAGAGGGCTTTTCGCGTGCAAATGAAAGGCTAGGGGTGGGAATTGGAGGGCAGGCTAGCAGAGATTATTTGAGAAAGGGAGGCTAGCAGAAGATCATTTAGGAATCCCTGAACAGGCGCTAAAAAAGAGTGGACCTACCAAATCCACCGTCTTCATCCGGTGGATGTTCGCTGGAGGTTCTAAAAAAGGTTATATAAGAGAGAGAGCGGGAGAAAGAAAAAGCGAAAAGAGAGAGAGAGAGAGAGAGAGAGAGAGAGAGAGAGAGAGAGAGAGAGAGAGAGAGAGCAAGAGGGAGTGAATGAGAGAGAGGGAGGACAACGAAACACCTTAAAGGAACGCACAATCCCGTTTTATGGATTTTTGGCTGTGGAGCCGTAGTCTCTACTTTTAAAAACCTTTATAGTGATGCATTAATGACGGGGCAAAAGAAGCGTGCAGAAGGCAATATAATCAAGTTTTTCCCATTAATGGCAGACAACCCCACGCCCTTATGACTGTCACGCTCCCTTTAAAAAGCACCAAATCCATAATCGGACATCCCAACCGGATTTGGGTTCCCGCAAAAAAGATTCTGTGGCTCGCCGTGGTGGTGTGGCAATGGGGGGTGAAAACCCCCCTTCTGTGGAACGCCTTCTAAAAAGTGCCCCGCAGCACCCTCGCTAGAGCCGATCCACACAGATTACGAAACGACGCCCCACCCGAAATGTGCCACATAGCAGCTAGCGAATCGGAATCGGTGTTCCATTATTTTTTCCGACTGGCCAGGGCGGGCGTAAGGGAAGGTATTGTGGCGGAAAGATGTTGTGTGAGACGGAATTTGGAAGTGGCAATAAGGACTTCAGAGGGTTGGGCTTGGATTAGGCTTAGGTTTAGGCTTCGGCTTAGGCTCAGGATTGAGCTTGTTAGGCTTAAGCTCGTGCTTGATTATCGCAAGCCCCTGAGACTCCGAAATTGAGCCTCAATGAGCCTGAGAATCGGGAATTTTGACGTTTTGATAAGTATAATAAAATCTTTAGAAGAGTAAAATTTTCCTGTTTTTTTTAATTATTTATATTTTATAATAGAGAAAATCATAATTTTTGACTTCCAAAAAATCAGAAAATGCGTATTACAAACCTCAAATCATTAATTTGACGTTTTTTCTTTTTTACAAGAGTATATTTAGCTGTTTTTAGATGTTATTTTATTCCACGAAAAATTGCTACGAAACAAAAATTATGTTTTCCATTTAAAGAGCCTTCAAAATGTGTTTACTATGTTTAAATATTTAAGCAAAACCTTTGAAAATGACTCGTAACGGTCGCGCCCTAGATTCCCCCCACACCTCTTCACCCTCCCTGTGACCCCCGATCAGGCCATCGCTGTGGCCTATTGGCTAGCGTGGCGGTCCCCCGCCCCGAGGTCGAGGGTTCGACCCGCTCCGGTGCACACAGAGTTGCATGACAGTCATCACGACCGCCGTGTGCTAGAGCTGTGCGAAATCAAAATGTCATTTTTACGTACTCTGGGCTCTCATGTGCCTGGGGTTGTAAGGTGGCGTTACATTTTGAAACTTTTGTTGCTCAGCGCGCGGGTTTATGAGACTTATTCGCAAGTTTTGATAGTGTAAAAATTATTATGATTTCTCAGACTGATTTTTACAAAAAAACCTCAAAATTATATCGTTAATATGTTGCAAAACTACATAGGAAATTTCTTCTGAGATGAACATAAAAACAAATAAAATAAATAAAGGAAAAGATACGTATATTCTCTTATCGTTATCGGTCAGTTTCTGAAGCTCAAAAAATATGAAAAAAACGAAGTAGAAAAACAAGCTAAACCGAAAAATAAATTATAAAGATATGTTAAAAGATACGTGTATGCTCTTTTTTCGTTATTCGTCGTTTTCCAAGCTCAAAAATTTTCGGACATACGAAAATGATTGTATTTTCTGCTTTTTTTGGTATACTTCGCGTCTTTTCTAAAAAATTTTGAAGCAGATATTTATAGCATTCATTTCGAACCTTCAACTCTTTTATGCGGTCTCTTAAAGCTTCGCAACCTTGAATTCTGATGTTATTGCCGGTCGGCTGTCAGCTATCGCTTTCTCCCCCCTGATATTTTTGAGGGCCACTTGTGCTGGGGGCTGTATTTGAGATTCCGGATACGGGGGGAGGGGATGAAGCTTGAGGCTTGGCATGGCTCCCCTCCGTTCCGCAAGTATGCCCTCCGATCCCCTGCCTCAACACCAACGGGCAGGCTTTTCCTCGGCTTTTCCCGGGGCGATACCCCTCCAAAAAAAGGTGCGAGAGCTCGGCAAAATATGGACAGTCTCGAGAAGGGGGAGAACCAATTTTTTTTTTCCTGGCGGCGGTTTCCTAACTACATTCAAAGTAAAAAAACTTTTTTAAAAAGTTGGGTCCCCCCGCGAATCCTTACGGTTCTATGGGATTTTGCGACCTAAAATTAAATTTTTAAATTGATATTCGTGTAGTTTTGATGCTAAGGCATAGTTAAAAATAACTTAGAAACGCATCCGCTATTTATCAAAAAACGTAGGCTTGAGCCGAAAAAAAATTGGTTTGGCGACGTACACCGCGGTCGGCGTTTGCCAAATTCAAAATTTTGAGAGTAGCGCGGCTATTTTCCAATTTTTTGCATACGATTTAGAAGATTTAGAAGTCGATTAGATAGAGAATTTAGATGTAGAAGTATACGACAACTGAAGCCCAGAATTAGGCGGCTCAAAGGCAAATTTCAAGGATATCTTCAGAAAGCTTTTAAAACGTAAATGTTCATAGACGTTTAGAAGCGGCTAGAAAGAACGAAAAAATGCAAAATCTCGTGGATCAGTGAAAGAGCCCTGAACCCACTTTGTATGCTAAAAAGGTTCCAAATCAAAAAGACCAAGCCAAGTTTGCGTCAGACAGAAGGGAAAAGCTCAGGATGTCGAGAATCGCAGAAAATAGAGCCTCAGAATGGCGTGG